CCTCTCACTTTTGGCTCCACCCCATGGTGCTCATGTCCTCATGCAGACACATGTGGACACGACAGTGCAAACATCCCCACTACTTAGCCCACATCCCTCATCATCAGCTGGCCATGACCAAGAGGTGTGCACAATGGACCTGGATCTGGGAAGAGGGCCATGTAGGTCCAAGCAGTGGCTTTTGGGAGGGTTAGAAATGAAATTCAGGATCCTAGGAATCCAGAAGGTGCTGTAGTGGTGTAGTGGATAAGGCATTTGGCTGTCAACCAGAAGGTCAGCTGTTCAAATCCACTAGCTGCTCCATGGAAGGAAGATGGGGCAATCTACTTCCATAAAGAGTTATAGCCTTGGACACCCAACGGGGGTCACTATGACTCAAAGGCAGTAAGTTTGGTTTTTGGGGTTTAGGGATCCAGAGAGTAGACTAGAAGTGAGTGTGCTGGCTCTGCAGCCCACGGGCTTCTCACCCCATGAAGAATGACACAGCCCAACCATGGAGGGCCAGAGCAGAGGCTCACTGAGCCCAGGACCCTGGGCAGGCCCCCTTGTCAAAGGCTAAGGGCAAGGCTGGGAATGGACAGATCCCAGCACAGGGGCCTACAGGATGCAGCTGGAGGACCCCAACTTCTGCATCTTCCTTTATACACCAAGAAGTTGGACCAGGAGATCACCACGCCCCTCTCCAGACCTGATGCTGTGGAAGTCTATGATCTATTTGTAACTGTCAAATAATTCAATCTCAATGAATAGACAAAGACGTATTAAAACATCTAAACCCGTGTACACATCTTAAAATCGCTACCTCTCTAGTTCACAGTAAATGAAGTAAATGCTTCTGTTTGACTTTTCAAAAGCTCAGAAATTTTGCAACAAGATATGAATAATGGGATATCTGGGAGCTTTGGTGGCGTAGTGCCTAAGGCACCTGACTGCTAACTAGAAGGCTGGCGGTTCAAACCCACCAGCCACTCCTCAGAAGGAAGATGGGGCAATCTACTTCCATAGTGATACTGCCTCGGCAACCCAAGCAGGGGTCGCCGTGAGTCGGGTCCAACTTGATGGCACATAACAACAACAACAATGGGATATCCTGGTTAATTAAGTTCCTGGCTAAAAGAGTTGTCCTATTTCTTTTCACAGGTGATCAGTTACCAAACAATAAGTACAGCAATACACTTAACAATAACACTACGATTGACACGATCATTGGATTATGTCTGACTCACAAGCAGTTCTAGTCTCCCAAAGGCCATGAACTGTTCATATCTGTAGTGTGTGTGTATAACTGTCACGTGATAGATGATGGAAAGGTAGGCGTGCTGGATAAGTCACAAGATACAAGTTGAAGCTTTTCACAATACGTAACATTTCAAGTGTAGATTTTTTGGACCAGACTACCTCTTCCAGGTGCTTTGGTGTGGTTTGTTTATCTCCTTATACATTTTGATGGAAGCAGGTAATGTCATGCTCGCCAGAGGTCAGTCGACACGGAAAGTGCACGCACCTCCCTCCCACAATCAGTAGCACTCACCTGTCCTTTCATATCTGGAGCGATGGGAATGGTGGGCCAGATGGTGGAGTAGATTCCAAAGAACAGGAGCCAGATCAGCATGCTTCCCCAGACGGCCAGGTGGCTGAACTGCAGAAGAAGATGGATGCTCGAGCCAAATTCACACACGGAGATTTACCCCAGCCTCACCTCTTACAGAGCATCTCTGCTAGCATAGTGCCTAAGCACTTGACTGTTAACCAGAAGGCTGGCGGTTCAAACCTACCAGCCACTCCTCAGAAGGAAGGTTGGGCAATTTACTTCTGTAGTGATGCTGCCTCAGAAACCCAAGGAGGGTTCACTGTGAGTCGGATGCGACTCACAAAAACAACAACAATCTTTACAGGAGCAAAGCCCAAACCAAACCACCGCTCCCGAGTGGATTCAGACTCACAGCGCCCTTAGCAGACAGGCTGTCAGTGTTCATGGAAGCAAAGCCCAAACCAAGCCCACTGCTGTGGAGTCTATTTTGACTCATAGTATCCCTAGAGGTCACATTGGAACTGCCCCATGGGATTTTCAAGGCTGTAATCTTGGTAGCACAGTGCCTAAGGCATCTGATTGCTAACCAGAAGGCTGGTGGTTCAAACCCACCAGGCACTCCTTGGAAGGAAGATGGGGCAATCTACTTCTGTAGTGATACTGCCTTGGCAACCCAAGGAGGGGTCGCTATGAGTCGGGGCCAACTCGATGGCACGTAACAACAACAACAACACCTCTTACAGAATCCCTGTGTCCAAGACATCTTTCCTTATGCAAAGATTTTGACCACTTACCAATTAGTGGAAATGCCAATCTTTCTAATTTCCCTGTCTTAGAATGCTCTGGTAGCACAGTGGTTAAAGCCTATGGCTGCTAACCAAAAGGTTGGCAGTTTGAACCCACCAGCCGCTTCATGGGCGAAACATGAAACAGTCTGCTTCCATAAAGATTGGCAGCCTTGGAAACCCTATTGGGCAGTTCTATTCTGCTCTACGGTCACTATGAGTCAGAACTGACTTGATGGCAGTGGAGTGGGTTTAGAATATTTAGCAATGAATTCAAGTAACTCGTGCCTCCAAATTACCCTAAAGATGCAAGGGCTTTGCCACCATTGTGAACCCACCTCTAGACCCATCCCACAGTGACAGCAGGCACTTCTCAATCCATCCATCAGAGGGGTTTGCCCAACTCAGGGTTTTATTTTTAAAAAAAGTTTCATGAATTTACTTAAGAGAAGGGTTGAACAGAGAAAACAGACAAGATGCTTTTATTCCTCATTTCAAGACTTCAATTGTTCTTCCAGTTTTCCAAAGAGAGTTTTGTTTTGTTTTTTCAATCTGGAGTGGATAGGACATCTTAACAACTCCCCTTTAAGCATCTACTGAGTCGTTAACTTTTTCTCCTTTACTCTCTTAATGTGATGCTACCTTTTCCCTTCTTCCACTCTCCAACTGATCAGTAAGTTCTGCTAGCTTTTTTTTTTTTTTTTTAAAGAAAAACATATCCAGCATCTGACACTTCTTCCCGTCTCTCCCTCTACCACGCTAGGCTAAGCCAGCAGCACCTCTCACCTACAGTACTGCCTTGTGCCTCATCTGGTTGATTCTCTGATTCCTCACTTGCCCAAATCCACCTCCCGCCTCTCTGACACTGGTGTGACATTGAGTGAGCCTAATTCAACAGCAGCCAGAAAGGGCATTCCTGACAGACAGACAGACAGACAGGAAGCACTGGTTATAATCCTCAAATAATGGAAAAAAATAAAAATGTCTAAAATAGGGGCTGATTATATAAATGATGGAGTATCTGTATCAAACACAATACTTCTAATTATGAACGATAATTCTGTAGAAGAATATTTGAAGACAGAAAACGTTCATGATATATTTTTAAGTGGAAAAAAAAATGACAAAACCGTATGTTCTGTAAATCCAAAATCTCATTAAAAACATGCCCATACACACACACAGAGCAAAGTTCGGAAGCTTACGCAACAGTGTAAAATTTGGAAATTTTAACTTTTCTCATTTCTCTCTCCATTTTCTTATCTATGTGGTATGTGTAGCAGGAGCTCTGGTAGTGTAGTGGGTAAGGCATTTGGATGCTTACTAGAAGGTCAGCAGTTCAAACCCACCAGCTGCTCTGCAGGAGGAAGATGAGGCAATCTAATTCCATAAAGATTTACAGCCTTGGAAACTCAATGGGGGTTGCTATGAGTTGGAATCAACTTGATGGCAGTGAGTTTGATTTTTGCTTTTGGTGGTACATGTATGCATGCTTCTTAGAAGAGAGAGTGGCCAGACTTTGTCTCTTATATTTTGGTCATGTTGTCAGAAGGGGCATGTCCCTGGAGAAGGACATCATGTTGGGTAAAGTGAAAGGTCAGTGAAAAACGGGAAGATCTTCAATGAGATGGTTTGACACAGTGGCTGCAGTGATGGGCTCAAGCACGGTAATGACTGTGAGGTTGGCGCAGGACGGGGCAGTGTTTCGTTCTGTTGTACATGGGGGCGCTATGAGTCAAAACTGACTCAATGGCACCTCACAACATATTTTACAATGACAGTGCATACATCTGAAGTGAGATGCGAGTTAACAGCTTACAGCTGTATCAAGTGCCCAGAAAATACATCACCAGGAAACTCTGGATAGCAAATTTGCCTTGATAAAGACCAAACCACCATTTTCTCTGGCAGATTTTAAAACAAGAAAGCTAGACGTTGTTTACTGCTTTCCTAAGGCTGAACAAGAAGTCATAGCATACAAATGTCTATAGAGGACAGAGGAACAATTTTTGAGAAAACTTACTTTAGTCCAGGCTGTAGTCTCCAAACCAGCTTTCAGACAAACAGTTACAACCACATACTGTGGGGAAAAAAGAGGAGACTGAGAAAATGTATTATCCTTGCAAATTATTTCAACTTTCTGTGAGAAACCGCATGCTTCCTCTACAGAGGTCCTCCAGGGCCGCTACGCTTGGGAAGGGCCATCTAGGTCATCGATACTCTAGGGGTTAGTTTTGGGGAGCACACAGGCAGGTTTAGTTCAAGAAATCCCCCCATCCTAGAGACTATCATCTTTCAACAAATAGTTACTTTTGTCATTCTCTTAGCTCACAAGACTTGGGAGAACCCCTCCTTCTAAGGGTGGCTTGACTTTTGAAGGTAGGTGTGCCAAAGCCATTTGGAGAACCGAGGAGTCTGCTAGTCACCTGTCCAGAGAGGTGGGCTCTACATAACCTTCTCTGCAAAATGAGGCCAGCATCTCCAAGCCATTCGAAACTGTAAGGACTTTCTAGCATACAGTTTAAAGGCTGGAAAATACATGATAGGAGATTGGAAGGGTGGCATATGCACAGGGAGACAGCTCGGGGGGCAGGAGTGCATCGGAGGGAAGGACACAGGGGAGAGGTAACTATGGGGAGGAAGTCGGAGAAGAGCTGTTGCATTGTGGGAGACTACAGTCAATGTCATGAGACAATGTATGTGTGACCTGCTGTATGGAAGATGTATTTGCTCTGTAAACTTTCACCCAAATCACAATGAAATTTAGCAAAGAAAATACATGACAACCATTGGGAAACCCTTGCGTCAAGGACCTGGAGAGATACAATGCACGCATGTACCACTTAAGTAGAGTTCAATAAGCAGAGATCAACTCACCGTGTAAACAATATTTCCAACAAATAAGTAGTCCGTGGCATGACCATTGGCCAACGCAGAATCTGAAAATTGAAGAGGATACTGTTATTTCCCAGGGGTTGCACACTGCAAGCTACCTTCTTGAGAACAGAAAAATGGACCTTCAGAAATACAAAAATAAAGAGATAAATAAAAATAAAGAGTATTTCAAAATTGTATCATCTCATCATCTATGATTCTAATGCTGCTTTTGCTTCCTGTGACCTTGGAATTCTTCCATTTATAATTGCTTATAGAAGCAAGGGAGCTCTGGTGGCACAGTGCCTAAGGCATCTGACTGCTAACCAGAAGGTTGGTGGTTCAAAGCCACTAGCTGCTCCGCGGAAAGAAGATGGGGCAATCTATGTCTGACCAAGATTTACCACCTCGGAAACCCCATGGGGGTCACTATGAGTTGGAATTGACTCGATGGTAGTCAGTTTGGTTTGGTTTTTGTGTCAAAGCAAATAAACAACATCAAGTTTCTAACAAAGCAAACCACCTGAGGTCTGTGCTGAAATTCACAGTTTTTGAAAAGATTAAAATCTCTTTGGTTAATCAAAAATAGGAAAGGAATAAGATCTCAATCTGCCTTTTGCATAGTGGATAAAGCACTTGGCTGCTAACCAGAAGGTCAGCGGTTCAAACCCATCAGCCACTCAGCAGAATGAAGATGGAGCAATCTACTTCCGTAAGGATTTCCAGGCTCAGAAACCCAATGGGGGTCACTATGAGTGGGAATCGACTCAATGGCAGTGAGTTTTTTTTTTTTTTTTTTTTGAGCATGGAACATCTTCTCAAGTATTCCTTTACTATTCATTGTTAATTTCGGCTAAATTGGAATTGTGTCTTTGTAAAAGAAGATGACCATGTGAATACAAAATCAATTCATAGTGATTGAACCCAGACAACTGGGAATTCTGTTCACTACTCATGTTTTCAGTGCAACCACATAAACCTTAGGTGCAGAGTGGAAACAGCTCAATGAGAGATATCTAGGAAGTACCACTGGATTTCTAAAACTTTCATGTTCATATTTGTTCCAAATATCTTTTTCAAGATGACTATTACAACATATACAACAATCACTAAGGCAGAAGTATAGTACAATTGCCTAACTCATGCCAGTCAGTCTTGTTTTTAACCTGAGGCATCAAAGCCTATTTTAAGATCAGAAACATTTTCCTTGCATGACACTGCCAACTTCCTCTTATTCTCTTTTATTCTCAGATTCAGATCTGTGGCTCCCAATTCAGGTATTGAACTTTTGTGGTCAAATATCCAGCTCAACAGCTGCTATCCACACATGTCTGGTTCCACTGATTCACCTAGGTGCCTGTTGGCGAATCCCACTTCTATCAAAGAATAAAGATCTATTTACTTTTCTAAAACAGTGTAATGACCAAGACATGTCACAGAACATGCAGAAATCCAGGGGCCCTAGATACAGCTCTCAGGCTGAGTAATAGGTAAATTAAGGGAAGAAAAACCAGTTACATGATACCAATGGGCCTACATTAGCTAGTGACTACACTGAGGGAGTATTACTGGGGGAATAAGAGGCTAGGAGAATATGGAGAGGTAGGGTCACTGACTTAAAAAAAAAATGATCTCATGGCCTAAGGGAAAAGTGAAAAGAGGCTGAAGTTCAGTCAAGGCCTGTTAAAAGGGAAAAGAGGGGAAAAGTTCAGAGAAGGGAAAGGCTAAACCCCAAAAAAATAACAAATTAATGTGCTAGTAAAAAGTTATTCAAAATTGTGGATGTTCACTTTTCAGTAATTGGCCACAAGATCGTCTTAATAATAAATGTATCGTTATTTTATTGTGGTGAGAATATACATGGATTTGGTTTGGTATACCAATACTGGGCTATTCTAATTACAGTGGCTTTATTCTGTTTTTTTAAATAATGAAGTGTGATTCTTCTTTTTTTAAGATTGCTTTAGCTATCTGGAGTTTCTTGCCCATCCATATAAATATGAGGATTGGCATTTCCATTTCTGCAAAGGAGTCTGTTGAAATTTTGATGAGGATTGCACTGAATTTATAGATTGCCTTGTGTAGTGTATTGACATTTAACCACCTTAAGTCTTTCAATCCATGAACACAGAATATCCCTCCATTTATTTCTGTCTTCTTTGTTTTAGCAATTTTTTAAAAATACTTTTCTGTGACAAGTCTTTTATCTTCTTGGTTAAGTTTATTCTTTTATATGCATAAATGGTAGCATTTCCTTCATTTCCTTTTCCAATTGCTCATTGCTGATGCATAGAAACCCAAACGATTTTAAATAAATTTATTGTGATTTGGGTGAATGTTTACAGAGAAAATTCATCTTCCATACAGCAGTTCACATACACATTGTCTCATGACATTGACTATAGTCTCCCACAATGCAACAGCTCTCTCCCCACTTCTTCCCCACAGTTACCCCTTCCCTGTGTCCTTCCCTCCATGCACCCCAACCCCCTGAGCTGTCTCCCTGCACATACACAGCCCTTCCATTCTCCCATGATTGATCTCTCCAAGGAGCGTATGTACCGCATATAAGTGTTCAGCTCATATGCCTGTTTTTTGTTTGGCTGGAAGCCACAGGAGTGAGTTCAATTTCAGACCTGAAGGGCAGCCAGGGGCCATAGTCTCAGGGGTCTCACCAGACTCTATCAGACCAGTGAACCTCGTCCCCCCCCTTTTTTATGATTTTGAGTTTTGTTCAACATTGTTCTTCTTCTCTATCCAGGATCTCCTATGTAGATCCCACTCCGAGTGGTTGACAGTGGTCGCCGGACACCATCCAGTTCTGTTCTCTTCATCATACAGGCTGAGTATTGCAAGGTGTACCAGAAACCCAACGGATTTTTATGTGTTGACCTTGTACCCTGGCACTTTGCTGGATTCATTATTTGTTTAATATCTCTCTTTTGGATTCTTTAGCATTTTTCTATTTATAGGATCATATCATCTGTGAAAAGTGATAGTTTTATTTCCTTCTTCCAAATTTGGATACCTTTAATTTTCTTCCCCAGCCTAATGGCTCTCGCTAGGATTTCCAGAATCATGCTGAAAGTAGGGGTGAGAGTCCTTGTCTTGTTCTTGATCTTAATGAGAAAGCTATCAGTTTTTTCTACTCAGTATGATGTCAGCTGTGGATTTTCTATAAATGCCCTTTGCTACATTGAGAGATTGGCCTTCTATTGTTATCTTGTTGCCTGTTGAGTTATGTCAAATACACTTTCTGCATCAGTTGAGAAGATCAGTTAGTTCTTTTCCCTATTCTGTTAATGTGGTGTATTAAATTGATTGCTTTTCTGGTGTTGAACCATCTTTGCATTTCTGGGATATATTCCACTTGATTATAGTGCATAATCTTTTAAACATGTTTTTCCATTCAATATGCTAGTATTTTGTTGAGTATTTTTACATCTTTATTCATGAAGGATATTGTTGTTGTTGTTGTTATATGTCATCGAGTCGGCCCTGACTCATAGCGACCCCTCCTTGGGTTTCCGAGGCAGTATCACTGTGGAAGTAGATTGCCCAGTCTTCCTTCCAAGGAGTGGCTGGTGGGTTTGAACCGCCAGCCTTCTGGTTAGCAGTCAAGTGCCTTAGGCACTGCGCCACCAGAGCTCCCATGAAGGGTATTAGTTTTCAGTTTTCTGTGCTTGTGTTATCTTTATCTGGCTTTGGTATTGGTAACACTTGCCTCACAGAATGAGTTAGGAAGTGTTTCCTCTTCTTCCTATTTTTTTTTGGAAAGTTTAAATAGTATTAGAGTCACCTCTTCTATAGAAGTTTAGTAGAATTCCCCAGTGAAGTTATCCAGTTCAGAACTTTTCTTTGTTGGGAGGTTTTTGTTTATGGATTCAAATCTTCACTGTTAAGGTTCTGTCAAGATCCAGTATTTCTTTTTGAGTCAATGTAGAGAGTTATGTGTAGGAATTTGTCCATTTCCTCTTGGTTATCTAATTTGTTGGTAATACAACTATTCATAGTACTCCCTTACAAGCCTTTTATTTCTGTAGAGATGGTTATAATATCATTTCTAATTCTAAATTATTATTTTATTTATTGTGATTTGTGTGAAGATTTGCAGGGCAAATTCACTTTCCATATAGCAGTTCACATATACTTTGTCTCATGTCATTGACCACGGTTTACCACAATGTAACCGCTCCCCTCCCACTTCCTCCCCATAGTTACCTCTTCCCAGTGTCCATCCCTCCATACTCTCCTGCCCCCTGA